CCTTGCCTTCCGTTAAAAGAACGGAAGGAGGAGCTCTCGCCTCACCTGAGCACTTCCAAGAGCGTAGTCGCGTTCGGGTTGGGCTCTCACCTGGGCGCCGCGGGCGGCGGATTATCAGCCAATCGCCGTTTCCCTTGACCGCCGATCTTACGCGGGAGGGGGGAAGGGAAGGAAGAAACCACCCAGCAGCGAGCGCCTGAGGTTGCTTTCCCCACCCGCTGGTGGCTGGTCGAGGCCACAGGTAGGCGAGGAAGGGAGGTAAGGGCTCTGCGGCGTCTGTCTTCGGAAGACAGTCTTTTCTTTTATGGTTTTCTTCCTCTCTCGCCCGCTTTCCCGCACTCAACTCTCTCGAAGACTTTAAAGGGCTGCTGCGAAACCTTTCCCAGTTCGCGTCGGCGGTGCCTCTGTTGAGAACCGGAGGGGAGAGCAAACGGCGCCCCGTCCTCGCAAGACTCCCCCCACCCACCCACGCACCCCTCTCGCTTTTACTTCAACAGACCGGGCAGTATATTTAGGCATTCATATTTGGTAGCGTGGTTTATGCAAAGGCTTTGAGGGACGGGAATTGGAATGGGGGGCATCGCGCATTGGCGCTTGTCTATCCCGTCGGAATGATTCCTTCATGCCGCCCCAAACTGTTAAAAAGTGCAGAAGCCTCTCGTAATTCGGGTTACTTCTAACAGCACTTGGTTGTGAGGTAAAATTTTGGCGTCTAGATGTTCCCTTAATGGAACAATTCGGGCACTGCCTTGTCAAAACCCATCGTGTTTAGTTGTATAGGTTTTAGAATGGTAAAAGAAACGGGGGAGGGACACACACACACACACACACACACACACACACACACACACACACACGGATCTTAGCATGAAATACTACACCAAATGTTGCACCCTACGGTCTGCAGCAACCTCTGGGTTTTGAGTGAAGGCGACTTTAAAAGTTGCAAAGAGGGCAGATCTAATCTGCATTTTTCTTTCCAGGAACTGCTTCCGGGAGTGATGTGGAAGGTTGAATTAAAGAGAGGAATAGCAAAGTGCAATGGTATTCGGGATTACTGTGTTTTAGTAGGACCCTGAAGTCTGAGGTGCAATTGCTCGGTTTACAAGAACATTTTGGAATATGTGGGATGTAATCTGAAGCAGGCTTGAGGTATGATGGGCATTGAGATGTGGTTTTAAAAAAAAAAACATTTGATGCTAAACTACTATAAATATTTCCTTTTGTTGCCTAACTGAAACTTGTCTGACTGACATAATGGCAATGCTTACGCAGAAGAAACTTTTTGATTTCATAAATCTCCCTTGTATGTAATTAGTAAATATATTGAAGACTTAAATCTTAAGAATGTTTTTTCCCCTATGGTTATAATGGGTCACAACATAGAAAACGATTTTCTGTTCAAATATGTTTAGAAAATGATTTGGAGTTATCAGATATAGAGGGGAATATTTCTATGCTTCATCCTATATTTCTATTCTGTCAGAAATCAGGAAGTCTTGCATAATAAGTCACACAATTTTCTGTATTATGGCATAGTCTTTAAAGGCATTTTTGCTCTTAAAGAAACAACTGTTACAGATCTAGTAGCATTGGAAAACCATTTCTAGTGGACTTGTCAGGCCATAATTCGCCTGAATGGATCCAGATCCAAAACCATATAATTTGAAATATTTTGTCATGCATATGGATCCTAATCTGACAATTTAAAATAACATATCAATAGTTATTAAAAGCATTCTAATTGGGTTATTAATGCTTTCATTCAATTAGATGTCAAAGAACTGGATCACTTCCATCCCTGTCTGGTCCACTATGGGGTGATGATGGAGTGGGCCAGCATCCCACTATCCCAGTTTCTCATATGAATCCTGGGGGAAATTAATTGTCTACCTCTGTGTTAGGGCAATACTCAGTATTCTGTTCATAACTCTGGTCACCAAGAGTTAAATGATGAGATGTAATAATTATCAGTATTCTATAACCTATATTATACCATGTAGATAGATTTGATGTTCTACTGTGCTTCCCTTTCTTTTTTTTCTTTTTGTGCTAACCGGAGAATGACATACCAGGCTTAACAAGATAACTCATTCATTCTCTACCCATCTGTTGAACTCAAACAATAAATGGTGTGTTTGTTTCCCAATGTAAATGAAGGCTTTTCTTGGAAAAGCAGTTATAAACTACATTTTATGTAATTCTTATAGCTGAAAACACTCATTCCTCTTCCCCAAATTTAACCAGAAGTATAATTGAAGCAATTTTTCTCTAAATTTTTAGAGTACTTATGGCATAATACAAATTATGCCAGTAGGAAGCAATACAACAGCTTTGGATTTAGGGAACTATGAACGTTTCACAGCCAACATATAGGATCTCTGCATGTATACTTTTATTGTGTTTGTCAATGCTGCTTGTTCAACCATTCATATGGGCTTGCCACCTGCATTGACAACTATATTTACTATTTATACAAATGGGATTGAGATTAGAATTCATAGTAATTTGTCCCCCATTTTTGGTTTATTTACAATAAGCTATCTGTATCCCACATTGAAATAAACAATTTTAAAATGCTTTCTTCCAAAACATCCAGAGTTTGAAGCAATTTGGTATTTCTGCTCATTGCCTTAAGAATGTTTATTAATATGTATCTTGAGAATCGGTAATGCAATACTATACCTGCAGGCTATAGCATCTGTCATGCCACTAGATGGCATCCATTTACATCAAATTATTTTTTTAAAAAATGAAATGTAGCTACTCTTGAAAGATTTCTATTTTCACATGAGGTCTTGGACATTTTTAACGTAAAGTTTTTAAAAATTGTTCTTCTAATTGTAAATAAAATGATGTTAGCATGGGATATCATAAGAATTCATGCAGGAGACCAGTCATCACTATACAACTGTTAGGCTCTCATTAAAATATGCAAATAGTGCACATCTTCATTCATACAGAACAGATCCTTTCTGTTTCCTAAAAACTGAAGCTTTCAATTATTGCAGTTTTCTGTCCATAGCTCCAATCACTTTTATCCACAGCGCGATTACATTCCTCCTCCTATCTGACTTTCGCTCTAGAAGTCTTTCAACATTTTGTTTTTATTAAGTTTTGTTTTTAAGAATTTTTATAATTTGAGCTTTCTTTAAGACTCTTATGTCCTCTTGAGTGTGCATAGTAAGGTGCTGTTTGACTAAAAGAAAGCCAATAGTTTAAGAAATGTGGTTATTAATATGGTAATATAAAAGTAGAACCTGCAACAAAACATCTGCAAAATTGAGTGCTATGCTCAAAATTATAGCTAATCCATGCTTTGTCCAGACACCCCCCCACCCTTTTAATATCCAGTATTCTGGGATCACAGCATGAGCAGTTAAGTTCTTATATAACAGATCAAGTTACTACTGCATTTATCCCATTTTCTTGGTTCACACAATCCATTGAATCACATTGAAGCAATTGCACTAATGTCTGCATAAAACAGTAGGCTATTAAAAAGCTATAATTGAAATTAACAAAGCTTAGTATAATGTACTATAATCACAAGGATTTGTTTAACTGAATTGGTTAGCTTTATAAAGTTCATGACTTAAGGTCTTTGAGAGGTGTTGCTCTCTCTACTCAGCCACTGTGAAAGTACTTCTGGCAGAATTATGAGAATGACCTTCTTGGTATCTGCTCTAAGTTTTGGAAGACCCTGTGAGGAAGATCACACTAGTTTAATATATGTTCTCTTTTTGCTAGAAGCTAATGTATTTAATTAGATGAGCCTTGAAATTTAAACTGACTTGAAGCAGATTTTAATGATATGTAATTATTTAGTCTTAAGCACATATTTTAAGCAGAAAAACAAGAGACCACTGCATGTCACTATATGCATGTCAGAGTAACATCTCTATTAAGTAAAATAGCAACCATACATTTTTCCAACTTTAAATTTTGCTTAGAAATTAATGGCTTAAAAAGCAGTGCAAAGTATTTATATGCAGTTATGCAATATGTATTTGTATATACATATTTGAAATATTTTAATTTTATTAATGAGAGGCATGAATTACAATTTTAAAAATCTTACTTTATTCATGTAAATTATGACTTACATGAACAAAGTAAGAGAAACTATGTGAAAATCATTGGTGGCTGGCTCCCCAGCTCTTTATGTACTGGGAAATGACATCTTCCATGAATGGGAGGCATGAGTTTTTCAGGAATTTGTGGCATACATGGCAACCATGGTGGATAAAAATCTATGGTTGTTTTTTTAAAAAATAATTTTAAAAAATCAGATTTTTTAAAATTTAAATTGGATTTTTTTATTTTTATCAAATTTGTTTTAATAAAATGCTTTTGGACTAAAATCTATCTAAAGATAGTTTTCTATTTAAAAATACATTAATTTAGTTTATTCGGCATGAAATGAAGCTGAGTTATATAGCATGAGCTGTATATTCTGCAATGTTGGGATTGTTGGTGAGTCAATAGCAGGTCAGAGGAGGAGCTGCTATGGGACAGAGATGACAGTTGCTCTTTAAAAATTATATTTAAATCGACTTGATTTAAATCAAGCCTTCAAGCCAATTTAAATCAACTTGTTTTAAATCAGATCAACCCTGATGGCAACCAAGGCCTTGTCCCGAGTTACCATGACACAAACTATTGTGGTACGCCCATGATACTGGTATTCACCTTGGAAGAATTCAGGATCAGAGGGTCAAGGACATCAATATCAGTTAGTTGTCATGGTCAGCAGCTGGAATTCACAATCAGCACCAATCTCCATAGGGGGATTGATCTGATCCAAGCACCTTCTGGACCCACTTTATTTTCACTGGGCACTTAGGGGATTTCCCAGCCATCATGCAGATAACTCTTGGATAGATTGGCTGAACTATGGAGGATCAAGATAGGCAAGAGTTTTGATGGGGCTGCTCTGAAGTGACCTGACACTCTTGCTGATTCAAGACGGTCTTTGGTTTACTGGGGAGAACACAGGAAGAGAAGATGAGTAAAATATGATCAGACACAGGCATGAGTCCACACTTGCACCTGTTCTGTGGCACTAAGAGCAGTGAAGTATGGGTACTTTTCCATGGTTGGTTACTGCATTCTCAGAGCGCCATCTAGCAGTATTAATTACATGACTGGGCCCTTAGAGGCTCTAGGAACCTCTGAGTAATTTCTAAGCATATTGAGGATACTTTCTCTCTCTTGGAAGTAAACTAAGCTGGGACCACCCAATAAATATTAGAATTCTTTTGGTACTGAATTGTGAAAGCTTGATGGCTTTCCTCTCTCCGTTTTATAGTAAGGATCAGTCTGGATTTCTTCCTTACCCTTTCCTATCTTACTTGGCTAAGCTGGTGTTTATATAATTCAATAGGTGTTGCATATTTTCTTCAAGACCATCTCCACCCTTCTCTATACTCTTATACTGGATCTCAGTTGGATGGTAGATGGGCAGCCACTGATGAGATGACAGAAATAATGTCTTGCCAGGCAATTTGACAGTGGGATTTTTCAAGCCTATGATATCTGAGGAAGTTGACAGTGTCCTCTAGCATGAGCTCAGCCATCTGCAAGTTAGATCCTTGCTCTTCTTGGATAATACAAGCAGCCATAGAGGACACAAAAGGGCAAAGATCAAGAAGAATTACCTTGAAGGAAGCAGTTAAATGTCCCTTCTTAAGAAGTTATTTGGACCCAGCCATCTTGGGGAACTGTTACCCCATTTCCAACCTGCTGTTTTTGAACAAGTTGTGGAGATAATGGTTGGATTCCAGCTATAGAGTGCTCTAGATGGGATGGATTATTTCAGTCTCTGTTAGTCAGGATTGCAGTGGTAACATTATACAGATAAAACTAATACAAACTATAAAAAAACAAGAAAAGATAAAAGTGCAACAAAAGAAAGAAAAAAGAGGAAGAAAAAATAACATCCTCCTTTATAAATTCTAAAGAACTTTAACAACTTATACCATCTCTTAAAATATAGCAATCTCTTCATCTCGCATCTCATCACATTCTCTATAAATCTTTAAAGTGTCATCCATCCTAATTAGCAAAAGTCCAGTAATGGTTACTAGAAATAACATTTTTAACTGGATCTAATAAACTGATTAAATTCCTTCCTTTTATGTTCATATCTCATTTTCTATCTTTAAGTTCCCCAAACTTCATCATTCCAATCTAGTCAATAATCAATTTATTGTAGTCATAGACCAGTATGCATAATAAACAAAATAACATTTAAGACATTCAACATTTAATATACTGAGACCTGTGGATTCTGAGATGTAACCCTTGGATTTTTTACAATCTCTCAGCATTGCATCATCTGATCTTAGAGTGAATTTGCTGAGACATCCAGTCCTGGGAAGATTGGCAACTGTCCTGAATGTTTTCCACTTGTGAATAAATCTTCCTCACTGTGGAATGGTGGATTTTAAATTGTTTGGAAATATCTTTATAATCTTCCCCAGACTGATGGGCAGGAACGATTGCTTCTTTAAGATCATTGGTGATATCTTTTCTCTTTGGTATTGTATCAACACATACCTCAATGCTGGAAACCAGTAAACTCTTAAAACTTCAGCTTTTATAGAGGTAATCCCACTTGCTGTTGATCAGTTGAGAAAGCTTTCCTGATGGAAGAGAACCCTAGATTTCAAAGATTATATTGAACAGCCTCGATCCAAATGGACTGAAAATTGTCCTTGAGAATTAATGGTGCTAAGCCTTGAGGATAGAAATTGAATTTCAACCAAAGGCTTACAAAAGCTAGACACACAGTTGACTAAGGTTTTATCATATGTGTCCCCATTTGTAGATGTGCATTTGAGATACAGCATGGTATCTGGAGAGCTGCTCTGATTTTAGATTGTACCCTTTTCAGGGTACATCCTACGAGATGAAGTGCAACCAGAGTCCCATAAAGAAGCTGAGCTAGCATTTCAGCCTGAAAGAGCTTAACTGTGGCTGGAACAATGTTTTCCCTTGGATTGGAAAAAAATTAAGGGTAGTGTTAACAGATCTTTGTCCAGGAGCAGTAGCATATTCACAGTGATCTTTAATTGAGCTAGTGGTTTAGGGAGTCTAGAAAATCTGGACCCTTGTTCATCTTGCTGAGTCTTTATCTAAATCTAAATCTAAATCTGAGTAACGAATATAAAATACTTTGCTGGAATGGCTCACTCCGGACTACTTATGAACTAGAATTTTCCTACATGTTCATAATTTTTAAAATGATTTAATATGGAACATAATACTGAAGGGTGATACAGATTTTGTACATACAGCTATTGGGCAACTCTTCAAATAATTTGATTATAGTAAAAAATATATACAGTTTGGATGGATTTTTTGGCTGTATAAAAATATGTGAAACAGATTTAAGACAGCAGATTGCCAGGCTTGCGTAAGGCCATATGGCTGAAGGGCTAGCACACATCTGTTGTAGAGCAATATTCTTTCCAGTGCTACATAAAATATCATCTCTAATATTTGATTGGGCAAGATGCTTATCAAATAATAAATAGTATATATTATTCTGATTTAGACATAGTTCTTGTTCTCCAAAGCAAAGTGCCTAGCAGGTATCAACACATTCAGAAGTAATGTGAGATTTAAATATAATAGTGGCATATTAAGAAATTAAAAAGGGGATAAACAGTGGAAAATTATAATTTAATATAAATTTGTGAATTGTTATTAGAACTATATAATCTGGTAAACACTGCAAATATGATTATATAATTGGAAGTAAAAGGAGTGAGATTAAGAATATAGAGATTGACACAAAAATAACATTGTAATATTGAACAATCAAGATTGATAATTTAATAAAATATATGTATTAATACCACATTTTAAAAGATTGTCAACTATATTAAATGAGGAATATTGTCATATTTGTATCAAAATGTAAGACTATGGAACCACACTATTCACACATGGATATTTTTGTTGTAACAGAAAAAAATTATTGCAAAAAAAAAAGTTATGTGAGTGACATACTGGTAAGTATCCATCCATCTGGAAAATTAGAATTGCTACCATGTCAAATAAATGCATAACATTGCAATGCAGCTTAACCTCTCTGCCCTCTCAAATGACATAGAACTGGATATAAATAATCTGCTGGTTAATACTGCAACTAGAGGTCTTTCTTCTACTGCCTGGCAATCAAAAATACAACCAGAAAAGTCGCATTTGAAAAAGAAAAATATCTGAAAATACATATAGGATACTGAAAGGGAAAATGGAAATTTAATTTGGGATGTGCAAAACATTTTGTCTTTTCAGTCCCCAAAATGGGCCACTAGAATGTTCTAAAAGTGATCAACTGAGAAACAGGCATTAACTGAAAAAGACTACTTTAAAGTTGGTTCATAGCCAAAGCACTCAAAATAGAAGTACCTTTACAAAGCTGGAACACTTCCAAAACACAATGACTCATTTTAAAGTTTGAGGGACATGTAACAGAATATTGTGAACTCCCTTGAGATTCATAACCCCAAGTGGTTGTTTATGGCTAATAATTAAAATGTTTAGAGGATCTGATCTAAAAGATATTAAAGAATGCACCTCGAGGAATAAGAATAAATTGGCAGGTGGGTTCTTACATAAGGGTTAGATATGGGTTCTTACGGGATTCAAATACTCTAAGTTTAGAAAATGAACATTATTTCAGTAACCCTGAAACGTAGTGTCTTTGTGACACTTGTGATTTATTAATTTAAATTGTTGCAATTATTTTTATGAATAAACATATATTAGTATGATTAACATTTTAAAAAATCTTGCAGGTTTTCCCATTTTGTGAACTTTTCTGTATCAAAGAAAAACTTTTTCTGAAGCACTTCTATATGTCGACTCTCCATGATGACTTATATGAGAATGCTACGGCGCTTCATAATGAAACAGTTTTCCCAGAAGAAACTTTGGAAGTTTACCTTCGTTATTTTTGTCTTCTTAATATTTTTGGTTTTGTTACAACGAGAAGTAGGTGTTCAAGAATTTAATGAGGAACCAGGAATGCCGTCTCATGATGAAAAGAAAACTGTATTAGATCTAGTGTTAAATGCCGTGAACAACATTAAAGCTGCAAAACCAAAAATGCAAATTAAAGCTCCTGTTAGGCAGACTCATAATGCTGAACAGAAGCATTGTTTACCAGGATATTACACAGCTGCTGAACTGACTCCTTACCTTGAGCGTCCCCCTCAGGATCCTAATACTCCAGGGGCTTCTGGTAAAGCATTTAAAATGATCAGTTTAAGCTCAGACGAACAGAAAGAGAAAGAGCATGGCGAAGAAAAGCATTGTTTTAATGCATTTGCAAGTGATAGGATTTCTCTACATCGAGATCTAGGACCAGACACACGACCTCCTGAGTACGTTGAAATGTATTTGAATTTAAAAGCAAATATTCTAGTTTTTGGTTAAAAATATGTAAAAGATTGAAAAAGATTGCCTTGAGCTTCCATTTCTGTATGAAGATGTGAACTGTGACTATTGTTATTATAGTTTCCCCCCCTCCCCCAATGTCGCATCATCCCTGTGGAAATAAGATTGGCCCTCACCTTGACTCTCCTTCAGTCTTTCTGAAGACATGATTTTGCAAGTGGGCCTGCGGACCCCAAAGTGATAGGGGACCCATGATTGGTTTGATTGTTGTCACAAGGGTTTATTAGGTTTTGTATTGGGATTTTATTTTTGTGAGTTGCCTAGTGTCACTGTGAAGAGGATGGCTATATTTTTTTTAATATATAAAAATAAATAAATAGAATAATTGCTGATTCTTACATCTGTAGGTATAGCATACAGATATATACCTACATCTGAAGTAGTTGATCGTAGCAAATCATGCATCTAAAAATATTAGGAAATCTTGAAACATTTATGTGGGATTGGAGCACTTCCAATACATTGATTAAGCTGCTATTAACACAATTTTTCAGCAGAGGTCTGTTTAAACTATTTTAAACTTGAATAATTTGTTAATTATGATGCAGCTTTGTGTGCAATTATTCTAAATCTTTATATCTGAACATTCCCTAGAAAGCATTTTTGGGCTCAGTCTCTCAAGGTTATTTCCATATACCTTTACACACAATATACATAGATTATCATTTTATTGTTAGAATGAGATTCTTAGAAACCTGTGCCATGTTACTTTCATTACATTTTTTTAAAATAATGATGAAACAGTTCTACTGTACATGCAAAGCTCATTATCTGTACCATAAGAATTAAGATTTAACATGTCTTATTCATTTTTTCCCATAAACTATGGTTTTATCCCCCAGATGTATTGAACAGAAATTTAAGCGCTGTCCTCCACTGCCTACTACAAGCGTTATCATAGTGTTTCACAATGAAGCATGGTCAACTCTTCTGAGAACAGTTTATAGTGTGATGCATACTTCCCCTGCAATATTATTAAAGGAAATAATTTTGGTAGATGATGCCAGTGTAGATGGTAAGACGCTATCTATAAATTCTAGATACTTTCATACTTGGTTTTTTTCTAATTAATATAACCTGGAAATATACACATTTTTCTTCAACAAAGAAGAAACAGCCCTTTCAACAAACGAAATATCCACCTTCCGTATACTGTACCTACATTCACATACAGATAATCCTTGACTTGGGACCATTCGTTTAGCAACTGTGTGAAATTACAACAATGATGGAAGAAGTGACTTCACACAACCATTACAGCATTCCCACGGTCAAGTGGTCAAAATTGGAGCTTTTAGCAACCCATTACTGGCTATTTTACAGCTTAACATATTGTTGAAATACAGGATGCACATTCTTTCTATCGTCACCTAACTAGTAACTGAAGCCATTAAAGCAATTGTAGGGAGGCTCAGTACTGCAAACAAGGGAAGAATGGGGATATGTGGCCAATAAGTTATTTATCTTGGTTCTGAGCTAATCAACAATATCTTTGTTTTTGCTATCAAAGGGGAAAACTAGCTGATATTACATGTTTAATCATATACATAGTAGAATTTGGCATAGGATATGCCTCTTTGTCTTATTAATCAGTAAGTATTTTCCTAGTATATCAGTTGTCCATGTCCAGTTTTTTCTTCTGTCTTCTAAAAGCATCATTCTGATTAAAACATCATCTTTCTTGCTGATTGTTCCTATTGCAGGACCCTGCCGCAACCATTCATGCAGTTGAATAATATTCTAAAAGTGCCTGTCTATAGTCCATTGTGAACTAAGATCATCATTTTGGATTGCGTGTATATATAGGACTTGGTGGAATCCTATTGCCTTGAAATAATTCATATTGAGAACATATTTCTTAAACAATATTCTCCATCAACAATTTTTTATCTTTAAAGCATTGGCCATTGTCTCTTTAAGTCAGGATGAGCTAATCTTTAATTTTTCTTTTAAAATGTTAACACCTCTCTGTAACAATATTCAGTTATAAAGTGATTGATTGTAAAGCCAAATTTCTTTAAATGATACAAAATGATGTTCATTTGATTCCAACTAAATTTTTCCAAAAGCACAAAAATTTGCCAAAGCTTAACTTTACTAGAAAGTGTTAACAATTACAGTTTTGCTGAATTAAGGTGGTACCTGTTTTGTGGTTTGTTCATTTTTTAGTAATCAGATGGTAAGGAAGCTTTTAGAACTATAACCATGGTCATTGAAAAATTATATCATTTTCAATTTTCTTCACTGAAGAACTGATCCTAACAAGTAAACTTTAACATTGTTTTTCTTGAAGTTATAGAAAATGACTTGTTCTCTTTTCAGACTACTTGAAAGATAAACTAGATGATTATGTGAAACAATTCCAAATAGTTAAAGTTGTCCGACAAAAGGAAAGAAAGGGCCTTATCACTGCTCGGCTGTTAGGTGCTTCAGTAGCTACTGGAGAAACCCTGACTTTTTTGGATGCACACTGTAAGTATGTCTAGATAGCTCACTGAACACTAGAGAAGCACTAAGTAATTTGATATCATATTATCCTTATTCTGTCATTGAATTTCTATCTAATCTAAAACTAGAATGCATTGACTTAGGAGAGTTGCTATAGCTCTTTTCAGGGTCAAGTTACTTCTGGTGAGCTCTTTTCCAGATTGGCATGAAGTCAAGGTGTTTTAACCGCAAAACCTGCTACATGTCTCTAAAGGAATAATAATATGAAATGTATGCTGAAATGCAATACAATAAATATATAGTAAATGTATGCTTTTCTTTTGAATTATTTTTAATGTAATAGAAGCATTGGAGGTGACATCTTTCATCTTGTTGGGATGGGAAATAGTTTTTTGTTTCTTAAAAGTCAAAGATAGATTCTCAAGTAGGTATTTAAATAAATGGGGTTACATCACAAAATCTGGCATACAAAATGTATAAAATGGGATTTTTATAGTGTTACAGAAGAACTGAGAAAATAGACAAGATTTAGAATTCCATACCCCCATTGCATCATTTAACGTGCTACTTCTTAAACTTGAGAACATTGAGATGCTGTCGTCATAACTTCTTATGAGCAATTTAGAACTTAAAAGGTACACTTCTGAACATTAATAGAGTTGAAGGCAAATCTCAGAAGGGGTAATTATTAATAATTGAGTAATTCCAAATAAGTAAGTGAATTCTTGGCAGAGAATTGTTAGACAGAAATAGTGATTTGATAAAAAATATTTATCAGCACATGTATATTTTTCCTTCCCCTTGTTTTTATCCATTAGAATAAAACTAAAACCAGTGCTCAGTGAATGGTACTGTGGATCTCCATGATTAGAAAACACAAGTGTTCTTTGCCCTTTTCAGAACCATTCATGACTTTCCAATAACACCTAAATATGTTAAGTGCTGCTGACTGCTCACTTGTTAGAAGTGATTGCTCTATCAGGTCTTCTAAAACTTATAAACTCTGACCAGGAGTACATTTCCAGTCTCAGGATCTTGAAATATGGAAAGAAAAACATCTCTGAACTTGCGTGGAATACTTTTCTTTCCTTGAATAACAGCAGGCTCCCAATTCCTTGCACATTTAAAATTCAAAAACAGTTTGCTTCCAAGCACCAAAAAAGGTTAAATCAATATAATTTTATAGTATCAAAAACAAGTAAATATTGCCAGAATTTAACAAAAACAACCAGTGAATATTGCCAGAATTTGTTAAAGAACAAGTTGAAGTATACTGAGTATTCTGAGATTTAAGTTGATTTTTTTAAAAAGTGGGAAAGAATAGGATATCTTGGTTAGACTGAATACCAATTCCTAATTAGCCCAAGTAACAAAAAAAGGAATCCAGTCTTTTTTTAAAAAATTCTTCTTTCCTAGGTATGGTCACTAAATTTTAAACAACATTATATTTGAAAGGGCAATTTTAATTTGAATTAATGTTCCTCATAGGTAATTCAAAATTCCTTCCAGTAAACAGGAGAAATAAAAAAAAATCTAACCTGTATTAGAACTATTCTTTTGAGTACTTAGACTTTTGACAAGAGAGTTAAGTGTGAGGAAACAGAATTAGTAATTTAATATTACTACTTTGCTTTCTTACCTTTATGTACAGTAGTAGGCAAAGGTGTTGTATTTCCATTTCTCAGGACTTAGACTTATCTACTTGTAAAATGTATAAGGAAAAAAAGATGAAAAGAATATGCAGCTACTGCTATAGAATTATTTTGTGAAATTTCCCTGGAACAACTTTTTAAATTTTGAAAATATTTCTGCAGTGGATGGATATGCTGTTGAAAGAACTGCAGCTGCAACAGTTCTTAAAAATGAGAAATTAGACTTTGCAGTTTTCAGAGAGGTATCCAAGTTTATTCACAGATTTAATTCTGCATTTTCTTACATAAACTAAAAACAATGTAGAAGAATCTAGAATTTGTCTATATCTGTGTAAATCTTTGTTCTTGCCCTTCTTTGTGCCTTTGTTAATATGTTGGCTGTTATTTACCAAAATAACAGTATTAAGTTTGAAAACTGAGGAATAAATTTAATATAAATATAATAAAACAATATTTGGCTTATTCACGGGGTTAATTAAAATTTCAAGATTTTTTTTTTTAACCATATTCTATATATGGCTTCAGACACATTTAACTTTTTTTTCCTTTCAAATAACTTTCAGGCTAGGAGAAATATTTAAAATTAATTATATTTTCTGTTGCCAGTACATATATAGTGTTATTTATTGATAATTGTCAATAAATAACAACAGTTTATAAACAATTATCATTAAATAAAACTAAATTTATCAATTTATGAAATTGATAAAAAAAATATCCTGGAGAACAGTTCTTAAAAATAATTTCTAGGGACTAAAATTGTATTTATAATTGAAGTATATTTGAAATGTTCTTGTGGAGGTGATAAAACTGTTTGCTCGTTTCTGTCTTTTAGGCGAATGCTTTTATGGATGGCTAGAACCTTTACTAGCCAGAATAGCTGAAAATTATACTTGTGTTGTAAGCCCTGATATTTCATCTATTGACCTCAATACTTTTGAGTTTAATAAACCTTCTCCTTATGGTCAAAACCACAACAGGGGAAATTTTGACTGGAGTTTATCCTTTGGCTGGGAATCTCTCCCAGAACATGAAAACAAAAAAAGGAAAGATGAAACCTATCCTATTAAGTAAGTAATGAAACATGAGTTATTTGCTTTTGTCGATAGTTTCGTTATATTTGTAAAATATAAATAAAATACAAATGAATAAAAAGTTCTATGTTTTTATATTATGTATCCGCCTATCCAATTTTCATCTCTTAAATATATTTATTTGCACCTAAAGAGAGCTTGGTCCACTTAATGTGTGCAAAAATTAAAACAAAAAATAAGTTCTATCCACTCAATGTAAAAATTGAGTTGCTTCGAAATGAAAAATGGGTGGCAAATAAATTTAATTAATAAAGACGGTATATAACTGAATAACTGCAATGCAATCTTTGAAAGAATTCCATGCCTCTGACCCAGATTGGATCCTAGATATAATTCACTTGAAATTTACATTTTATTTTACTTCTTTGTAATGACTGATTTTTGAAAAGTTATGGAACATGTTGACTTTTCAGTGATTTAATTTTACTGTAGCAATATTACAGTGTTAGGCTGGAAGAATGTCAAATCAGCTAAGATTATTTATCCTCAGAAGTCCTGATTTTTAACCCCAGAAAAACTCTTGTCTGTTTCTGATTTTGAAATAGATTACAGTATAAGTTCATACAGCAGTCAGTCATTTTCATAAATGTATGCTCCACTGCTGTTGATGGGTTGCTGTTGCTGACTTTGATATATAATTATATTTAATGATGTCATTTCACTGACATACTTTTCTTAGAATAAAATAAATTCCACTGCTCTCTCATAACACTCCAAATTTTCTTCAAGAAGCTGGGATATGACTGAAAAAGAACATAATTAGTAAGATATTTCATTGTATGGGGGGTTTTACACTTGTGTAACATTGGATGTATTTGCTTGGGGTTAGTTCAATTGATTAGATTTAATTGAAGACAGATAAGGTTAAGGTTGTGTGTGTGTGTGTGTGTGTGTGTGTGTGTATTTATTCAATCAGATGGACAAGTTCCTGGCTTCATAAAGCTTTCTCTCTCTTTCTCTCCCACCCTCTGGCAGGACACCAACTTTTGCAGGAGGTCTCTTTTCAATATCAAAGGACTATTTTTATAGAATTGGAAGCTATGATGAAGAAATGGAAATATGGGGAGGAGAAAATCTAGAAATGTCTTTCCGAGTAAGTTAATAGAGTATTCACATGTCCTTTACTGGCAATGTGACTGTGTGCATTAGGCTAAAACTTCTTAAAACGTTTATCTCCACTCTATAGACAGAGCAGATAAATTAACCTAACCATGTGATAACGATAGCCTAGAAAAATAAAATGATGTGTAGATTCTAGGAGTGGTATCCGTGGCTTGGTCAACACATTATTAATTAATGCTTAGTTCATATTAAAAAAAGACTACTTTGTTTTAGTATTCTCTGTGTCGCAACGCCACACTTTAAATCTTTTTAGTACATACGTGTTCCTGCAGCACCTTTACCTGATAGCAGCTACTGAAAGTTTTATTGAGTACAGCTCTGTATTTTTCAGGTGTGGCAGTGTGGGGGGCAGTTGGAAATTATACCTTGCTCAGTTGTGGGTCATGTGTTTCGCAGCAAGAGCCCCCATACCTTTCCAAAAGGGACTCAAGTGATTACCAGGAATCAAGTTCGCCTTGCAGAAGTATGGATGGACGAATATAAATATATATTTTATCGGAGAAACACAGAAGCAACAAAAATTGTTAAACAAGTAGGTGGCGATGGTGGTGGTATTAGAAATCAGTTGCTTCATTGAAATTCTTGGTGAGCAAAAATTATTACTTATTTAGGCACTATGTATGTGTATTATTTGCTTTGCTTGGCAAAATATTGAATAGAATAATAGCCAGTTATAGTTTACTTAAAATTTTATAATCTCAGAACTTGAGTGATTGAGTCAGGCCCATCTGTCTATCCATCCAACTAGAATTGGAGGAATCTTTTGGAAGAATTTCATTATATCAAAATGAAAGAGCTGAGAAAACTTGAATATGCTTTAAATAAATTAGAGCTAATCAATTGAATGAATATTACAAAGCTAGTTCTAGATCTGTGCTTTTTTTCCCCTAGCATTCTTCTTCTGGGTTCTGCTTTTCTTGGATCAACTGAGTATTGATTCATTGGTTGTGACAAGAATTGACTAACTTTATTGCCCAAGTCTGATATAATGGGTTGAGAGTGATTGACTGACACAAATTCACTCAGCTGACTTTCATGCCTAAGGTGAGACTAGAACTCATAGTCTCCTGGTTTCTAGCTCGGTGCCTTTAAATTTACATTATGTGTGCATCTGTGTCTATGTGTGTGTGCTTATGTATATGGCTTATAAATATTTTGGATAAATACAATATTCAGTTCTGCAATATAAGTACAATATTCAGTTAAATTCAATGGTGAAAAAAGATTCTACATTGAGGAAAGAGAAACAAAATGCACAGGTACAGTATATGTGGTACCTTGCTCAATCGTAGTAACTCTGAGAGGGATCTTGGAGTCCTAGGAGACAATCATTTAAATATGAGCCAGCAGTGTGCTGCAGCTGTCAAAAAAACCCAACACAGTTCTAGGCTGAATAAACAGGGAAAGAATCAAGATCATGTGAAGTGTTGATACCACTTTATAATGCCTTAGTAAGGCCACACTTGGAATACTGCACCCAGTTTTGGTCACCACGTTGAGACTCTAGAAAGAGTGCAGAGAAGAGCAACAAAGATAATTAGGGGACTGGAGGCTAAAACATAAAGAACGGTTGCTGGAATTGGTTATGTCTAGTGTAATGAAAAGAAGGACTAGGGGTGACATGATAGCAGTGTACCAATATCGGGTAAAAATTAAGCTAGGGTGGGGATGGGGGTGTGGAGCTGCCCTACTGCTTACCTTCAGACAGTTGCAGCCAGGCCTCTCACACCCTGACACCTGCTTTTCTGGATGCCTTACAGTGGATCCATTTCTTCTGCAGCTGGCAAGACTTTCCTGGAGGCCTCTGCAGCCAATAACAGAGCTCCAGATCGATCGATTGGCTGCAGAGGCCTTCAGGAAAGCCTTGCCAGCTTTGTTGGCTGCAGAAGAAGTTATTGAAGGCCTCGGACGGTGAAAAGGAGGCCAGGGGCGACGGGCGCAAGTGAGGTGAATCAGTGGATGACATTTCCCCCCTCCTGAAAATAGGGCCTGATGCTATTTTTGGTAGCAAAAAATATAAGACAGGGTCTTATTTTTGGCAAACACACGGTAGTTAGAACAATTAATCAGTGGAACAACTTGCCTCCAAAAGTTGTGAATGCTCCAATACTGGAAAAAGAGATTGGATAACCATTGAAATGGTATTGGGTTTCCTGCCTAAGCAGGGGGTTGGTCTAGAAGACCTTGAGGTCCCTTCCAACTCTGTTTATTCTATTCTGTTGTGTTCTAGTCTAATAAAGAATGTTGGATTATTTGATAAGGTTAAACATGCTTGAATTTTTTGAGAGAACTATATAGAAGGGGAAGTATCACTGCTAATTTGGGTTATTGGAAGCTTATGTGACAACAGTGAGTCAAGTAGAAAGGGATAGATCCAGTTTTTAAGGCAAAAAACAGGAGAAGATGCCTTGCTATTCCTCTCCCAATGAAATCAAGCTTCTGAATTTTGTATAAGACCTTTGTACAAACTCAAAATGTATTATCAAGATGTGATGAATTGTGCACTGACAATTCATCACATCTTTTAAACAAATGAAGTTGGGGTGGCAATCATTTATTACTGCCACGGAAGGAGTTTATTATGGGCCTTTAATAGTTGACCTACATTGTTTAGCAACCATTCAGAGTTACAAAGTCTTTGCACTTGCAACCAGTCTTCACACTTGCCACTGTCACAACAATCCCCACGATCACGTGATCAAAATTCAGACACTTGACAACCAGTCTATATTTGCAATAGTCTCAGGATCCTGGGGTCATGTGATCACCATTAGCGACCTTCCCAGCTGACTTCAGACCATCAAATTCAATGGGAGAAGCCAGTTCTTCTTAAAGACAGCATACTTCGCTTAACAACTGTAGTTATTGGCTTAACAACTGTGACAGACAAGATGGAAAAATCAGGAGTGACTCATTTAACAACCGTTTTGCTTAGTAATGCTGATTCTGGTCCCAATGGTGGTTGTAAGCCAAACCTATAAACTTATTTAGTTTTTTTTAATTATTGTTTGAGTACTTTTTTTTTACAAAAGCTGTGTCTTAAGCAACTTAGGAAATTTTTAAAGATTATAAACTGAATTATTTAAACTTAAAAGTTTTATGTATTCCAAGCTCCTATCAGCCAGGAAAAGCTGTATATTTCTAATTTCTGAGAACCTGGAATGAAACCTAGAGTGGAGATCACTTATAGTACATGCTAGAGTCTCTTCCTCCTGTGAGAGAACATGGTGTTGCAAGCAACATGCCCCCCAGACATGACCTAAATCAATGCTGCTTAGCTGTAAGAGGGACAGATACATTACATTTACTTTACATCTTCAAACTAAGCTCCACAAAACCCCTGCTGTCTAGTTTTCTGCTGCAAACCAATGTCATAGCAGAAACTGGCTTCAGAGAAACAGGCAGGGAAAGAAGGCAGGGAAAGGTTGCAATGGGAAGTAGTGATATAAGAATGGCAAAAAGCAACTCGGCACTAATATAAACCATGTGGGAAGATGATAGGCAAATAAATGGTAGATACAGTAGTCGGTGTTTTCCTCAGGGTGAAGTTTTGCTGAGGCTGCACTGTGCTTTCAGGAATCACTGAAAGCACTTTGCTTAGTATATTAAAAATTCATTCACTACTTCATGATTCTCATGGAGGCACCGTGTTCGGTGGCTCTTCAGTTTGCAAGGTGGAAGCCTCATCCACCATTTGAGTCAGATCTCATAATGCTGGTCAGCAGCCTGTTCGTAATTAGGAATTGTTCATAAGCCAGAGGTTCATAACCTGGAGACTTCCTGTAATACACATACCAAGTGTACTGAGGTCACCCATTAACCTTTCTCCACTGAACTTTAAATATCAAAGACTTGCTCAAAGGTGAAATGAGGGAAGCTACAAAGATGGCTTAGCCAGAGCTGATTACTACAACTGAAAATCTGAAAATTCAGCACTTTTTTGTAGTGTTGTTGTATCTCACTTCAAAAATTATCTCAATTTGACTCCCTTATCTTGCAGCAAAATGAGAGGAATGCTATTAGACACTATACAAAAAGGGCAAAGAAGCCATTTATAAACAAGGACATACACAGACCAGTAGTCATCAGTAATCTGTATGGAAATGTGCTGGTAAAGCAGCTAAAGCGTGGTAAAACCACCAGGTACAGTCACATACAGTTGTGCTCATAAGTTTACATACCCTGGCAGAATTTATGATTTCTTGGCCATTTTTCAGAGAATATGAATGATAACACAAAAACTTTTATTTCACTCATGGTTAGTGGTTGGCTGAAGCCATTTATTATCAACCAACTGTGTTTATTCTTTTTAAATCATAATGACAACAGAAAGTACCCAAATGACCCTGATCAAAAGTTTACATACCCTGGTGATTTTGGCCTGATAACATGCACACGGGTTAGCCCAAAAGGGTTTGAATGGCTCTTACAGGTAGTCATCTTCACCTGTGGTCTGTTTGCTTGTAATTGTGTGTATAAAAGGTCAATGAATTCCTGGACTCCTGACAGACCCTTGCATCTTTCATCCAGTGCTACACTGATGTTTCTGGCTTCTGAGTCATGGGGAAAGCAAAAGAATTGTCAAAGGATCTGCAGGAAAAGGTAGTTGAACAGGAAAAAAAACAGGAAAGGGATATAAAAAGATATCCAAGGAATGGAGAATGCCAACACTAATCAAGAAGTGGAAAATGAGGGATTATGTTGAAACCAAACCACAGTCAGGTAGATCAACTAAAATTTCAGCCACAACTGCCAGGAAAATTGTTCAGGATGCAACGAAAAACCCACAAATAACTTCAGGTGAAATAAAGGACTCTCTGAAAACATGCGGTGTGGCTGTTTCAAGATGCACAATAAGGAGGCACTGGAAGAAAGATGGGCTGCATGGTCGAGTCTTCAGAAGAAAGCCATTACTACTCAAATGCCACAAAGTATCCTGCCTACAATATGCCAAACAGCACAGAGACAAGCCTCAAACCTTCTAGCACGAAGTCATTTGGAGTGATGAGACCAAAATTGAACTTTTTGGCCACAACCATAAATGCTACATTTGGAGAGGAGTCAACAAGGCCTATGATGAAAAGTACACCATTCCTACTGTGAAACACGGAGGTGGATCGCTGATGTTTTGGGGATGGGTGAGCTACAAAGGCACAGGAAATTTGGTCAGAACTGATGGCAAGATGAATGCCCGGAAGCTGTGCATGGGACGTACTTGGACATTCCAACATGACAATGATCCTAAACACAAGGCCAAGTCGACCTGTCATTGACTACAGCAGAATAAAGTGAAGGTTCTGGAGTGACCATCTCAGTCTCCTGACCTCATGCAAGACAGCCCAAGAATTTACAGGAACCTAGAGCCTTTTTGCCAGGAAGAATGGGCAGCTTTACCATCTGAGAAGATAAAGAGCCTCATCCACACATACCACAAAAGACTTCAAGCTGTCATTGATGTTAAAGGGAGCAATATGAACTATTAAGAACTGGGGTATGTAAACTTTTGATCAGGGTCATTTGGGTAGTTTCTGTTGTCATTATGATTTAAAAAGAATAAACACAGTTGATTGATAATAAATGGCTTCAGCCAACCACTAACCATGAGTGAAATAAAAGTTTTTGTGTTATCATTCATATTCTCTGAAAAATGACCAAGAAATTATAAATTCTTCCAGGGTGTGTAAACTTATGAGCAAAACTGTAGTAACAAAAGCAATCAAGAGCAACAGGGAATGGTGGGCCTCAATTCTAACTCCTTTTTGCTCTTATTAACCACACTGCACGTGTCCTCAAAGATTGGGAAGTGGCAGTATTAATCCCTACATTTTATAAGGTTGAGGAAAAGTTGCTTCCAAATTGTAGTCCTATCAGCCTGCTGAGCATAGTCCGCAGGTTGCATGCCAGACATCTCTATGGTTGATTAGTGGTTTGGATAGAGTCTGAAAATATCCTGGCAAAGCAACAATTTGGCTTTCGTCCTGGCTTTCTGTTTTACACCCAGCCTTTATATCAAACCATCTGGCCGAGAAATAAACCAAATTTATCTCTATATGCAACATCAGTTGATTTTAAGTCTGCATTTAACCTGATCTCAAGCTACAAATTGTTTTCAGTGACAATCGATCACTGCCTATTTCTCCTGATGTTGACACTATGTAAAAGTTCATATTTAAGGATCTTTTGAAACACCCATTGCTAAGGAAATTTCTATTTTCAGAGATATTAAACAGGGCTGCATTCTGGTTCCACTGTTTTTAATTTATATATTCATTGCTAACCTAGATATTTAGACTTGTCCACCAAAATTTACAAACAAACATTTTGGAATCTCTCTCTATATAAAAGTGAAATACCTCCCACGCATCATCACAAAATCTCCAGAACTGTAAAGCCTACAAACTTGAAATTTGGCACATATGTTGTTCTTAGCTTCTAGGTGCTCACTAAGAAAGGATTTTTCAAAATGACTATCAGAGCATTAGTATTTTGTATATTATTATGAACAGCTCTGATGCTAAGGAGTTCTACTCCCCCTCTCCACCTGAAAAGAAATCTGTTCCAAATGCAAAACACAAAGCAGAGGAGAGGAGTTTCAGTTTTAGTTTCACAGCACCAAGCAGCTTTAGTACAGAACAGTTGAGCTAAGCCACGTCCTGGCTCCTTGCTGTCTCCCTCTTGTTCACACAGCAAATACTGTTCCAATGAGCCCTCAACACTCTCACACACTGACAGGATGCTAGCCAGATGAATACCAATGGATGCTGGTATGCAGAGGCACAATTTTACCCCTTATTTTCCTCCCCCAAAACTAAACCCAATCACATAGTTTGTTAACGAAGCACAGGTATCAGGTAGTACTACTATAAAAGAGCATTATGTGCTTTTTTTTCTGTTGTAACAAACAATGTTTAGAGATCAGCAGTGATAAAGTCAAAATAAATAAAAAAACCTAGATTAGGGCTGTCAAACTCCCAGCCTGTGGGCCGGATATGTCATGTGCTGGCCACATCCATACCTGGTTTAGTGAAGGGGAAAAAAAGACCTGATACATCATGTAAAACTGCCATGACGCGAGTTTGACACCTCTGGACTAGATTGTGGAAATTTGGTTGAAAGAGTCACAGAATTGAAATGTGTTCTTGCTATACCATATGAGAAAGTAAGGAAAAAAGTAATCTGTTTCGTTGTATTTTTCTTTCCTTTTATCAATGTGCCATTCATTACTCAGCTACTTTCAGTTGTATAGTTATTTTTAGATGCTATAATTTTCTCAGATTCTATTTCCCTCCATATTTCTCTTCTGTCCCAGGGTACAGGTAAGGATTTTCTAAAATAAGACAATGGGTAAATTTGTGGTTTTTAATCAAAGTGTGATTAGGCAACAGTTTGCTTCAAACAAAAGATAGTTGTAAACATTGGAATAGCTATTCTTAGTATTCATTATAAATCCAAAACTTCTCCAAATAATGAAATAAATTATTGTAAAGAATTTATTTCATTATTTGGAGAAGTTTTATACATTAGTAACAGTAGCAGTGACAGGTAATAGCAATACCACAAACAAAAGATATCAGCAAAACTGGGAACCAGAAAAACTGCTTTAGTACTGTATTCCGCGTAAATCAAGAATGCCTTTCTGCAAATAAGGAAATGAGTGTTTCTGAAATCTTAACTCTAAGCCATTAATATTTTGTAATTCCTAGAACTTTTAAATATAATATGGATTAGATAAATTTTTATCAGTTTATAAACTTATAAAGATGTATATACCAAGAAGTTCTGCGTACCAGTTGTGAATGAGCTGTTATTTTTCAAATGGAAAGCCCCGTTTCCTGCCCCCCCCCCCGGGGTCTGTAATAAAGGGGCCTTTAATTCGACTAACCACGTTTGCTCATGGAGAACATAATATGGAACTTCCAAATTACAAAGAAGTAGTAAGATATAACTTAACTTGTAGGACATTTCTCTGGAGGAATGCTCCAATAAAAAACAATTGAAAAATGTTTTAACTATACTTGCTATAAAACGTGTTTAAAATATCTGAAAATAAGTTGATGGAAACTTCATAACTCCACTGCTACGCGAGCTGCATTGGTTGCCAGTTTGCTTCTGAGTGCAATTCACAGCTCATTACTTTTAAAGCCCTTTAGAATAGAATAGAACAGAACAGAACAGAATTCTTTATTGGCCAAGCGTGATTAGACACACAAGGAATTTGTCTTGGTGCAAATATTCTCAGTGTACATAAAAGGAAAGATACATTCATCAAGAGTCAGGAATCATAAGGTACAACACTTAATAATATTCATAGGGTAGAATAAGCAATCAAATTATACTAGGAAACAGTCAGTGTAAATCGTAAGGATACAAGCGACAAAGTTACGGTCATAACAGTCACAAGTGGGAGGAGATGGGTGATAGGAGTGATGAGAAGATTAACAGTAATAGTAGTGCAGACTTTGTAAATAGTTTGACAATATTGGGGGAATTGTTTGTTTAGCAGAGTGATGGCTATCGGGGAAAAACTGTCCTTGTGTCCAGTTGTTCTGGTGGTGCAATGCTCTATAGCGTCGTTTTGAGGGAAGGAGTTGAAACAGTTTATGTCCGGGATGTGAGGGATCTGTAATAAAGGAGCCTTTATGGCATAGGTTCAGGATATGAGGATGGAATGGGACAATTGGCCACAGCTTCCTCATTCTGGTCCGCTGCCCCAGCTGCCCCACCACGGCCCCACTCCCCAGTTTGCCCCCACAGGCAATTCACTGCAGCACAACTCGTCCCAGCAGATTCACCAAGTGGGACAATTAATCGCTCAGGATAATTTGCTAAATGCCAGAGGTGAGGGAGGATCTCTTTCTCCTCTCTTCCTTGTCTTTCTCCGTGTCTCTCGCTTCCTCTCTCCTTCCGTCCTTGATCCAGCTTGCCTTCCCCACCAATACCCCTTGAGCTCTCTGCACCCCCTCATTGCAGTGCGACCCAGGAATTTGAATTGAAGGCCCTTTGGGGACACTCAAGGCTTCAAAGTGGCAACCTTAAAATGAATGATGCCACATTGCCCCATTCCAAAAAGTTTTATCTCTGGCCCTTTCTCATTAGCAGTGAGAAAAGAGATGGTGTATGTGTGTGGTCTGTATTGTTTTCTATCGTTTCTTGCCCAGATGTATACAGAAACAACCTTCTTTTCTAAGGGGAAGGGGGAGTCTTTGCCCTTTTCCCTCTCCCCTTTCCTCCCTGTTTTTGCTGGATGTCTTCCCCAGTTTTAAACTTCACTAGCTCTTCCCAAAAATTTATCTTTGGCCCTTTTTAATTTTCAATTTTTATATATTTGCAACAATTTTTCTTCCAACAGTCTTGTAGCTGCTGGGCCTGGTTGCTCAGCCAAAGTCCTGAGCCCTATAGCCCATTTGTTACCAGATGTCTGAGATCTCAAACCCATAGTGGAGTCTTAGTTGACCGAGGTATAGATTTCTGCAAGTCACACATCATCCTATTGTTTATGGGAGAGACACGCTTCATCTAGTTCCTCTGATGAGACCTGTCTAGTATGGTTGAATTATTATTGTGAACATGTTAATATCAGCTAAACTAAGTGATTTTAAATCTCATTTGTTCTTTGGTTAAGGCACCAGGCTAGAAATAAGGAGACAGTGAGTTCTAGTTCTGTCTTAGGCATGAAAGACAACTGGGTAACTTTGCAACAATCATTTCCTTTCAGCCCAACTAACCTCATACGGTTGTTGTTGTCAGGAAAATAGGAGGAAGAAGGAGTATTAGGTATGTTCACCGACCTGAATTATGTATAAAAATAATAAAGGTAGGAAATAAATAAAATAAATAAATAAATAAATAAAATTCTTTTAAGAAAAACAAACTGTAAGAGTATGGCCCATGATGGTAAGAAGCCTGTTTTAGAAATGACTGCTTCCCAGGCTTGCAACCCCTGGATCTGTGGACTAAAGTTTCCAGGATTACATAGTTGGCATGGCCAATTGTAAAGACTTCAGAGAGTTCACATTGGCCATGACTTCTTTCTTAAAATGTGGTAATTAACTATTATATTCTTCATTTATATCATTTTCTCTCTTTTTGGTTTTAGAAAGTATTTTTACATTTGTTTAACCAATTTAATTTACAGATCTCTTTTTTATAAAGGAGAAAGCACTTCTAATAAAATTTATTATCATTTTTTTCTGTATACTAATTATTTAGCATTGTTTCAACAGAAAACATTTGGCAATCTCTCAAAAAGATACGAGTTAAGACAACAATTACAATGTAAAAATTTTACCTGGTACCTAAGCAATGTTTTCCCTGAAGCCTATGTACCAGATTTGAATCCTGTGTTACATGGATTTGTGAGTATTTATTTATGCATTTATTTTGTTGTTTTGTATATAAAAGGTACAGAATGATGTCTCTCTCCCTCTGTGTGGGCGGGGTGGGGGGGAGAGAGAGAGAGAGAAAAAACACTGTGGAGTTTTTGATGCTCTCTAAGCTTGTTTGCTTGCAGACATGTCATTCCCCAACTAACAAACATCAGTGTGAATTTACAGTAACATCAACACTCACTTGCATTGATGATAGCTAATGAAATGTCTGCAAGCAAACAACTCAGAGAGCACAAAGAATCTGACAGTTCAATCCTCTTCTATTGGACAGAGAGAGAGAGAGAGAGAGAGACACACACACAGACATTCATACATACACACACACATACATATACATACATACCAATATATATATATATATGTATATGTATATGTATGTATGTATATGTATGTATATATGTGTGTGTGTGTGTAATTGTTTAAGCTGAATAAGTTTGCATGAAGTACACTATATTTGCTTCTCCCTGGCTTGTCACCACAAGTGTCACTGGATAAGCTTAGTCATGTAGCTTCTTCACAGCAGCTGGTCACCTTCAAAGTGATTCACTCTGGGAATGGAAGAATTCACCCACAGAACTCATGCTCATGGATGCTTCACTTCTCACAATTTTTTTCATGATCTTCATTTGATTATTATGCCACTGGATGCTAGAATTGTGCACAAACTGATCATATAACTGGGAACAGCAAGTAATCTGCAGATAATACTAATGTCTAGCAGCATTATCAAGAAGATTCTCCATCAAGATTGTGGAACAGCTGTATGGCTCAAACTCCATCCAGTGGCTGCATGGTGCAGAGCTAGATATGTGTGGGCTATAGGCAGCCCTAGTGCCTAGCAGCACAATCAAGAGGCCTCTTCACTGAGTATATAAAAGAGTAACACAGAATAAATAAGCTGATATGAACCATGTGCAAATGAGAAGACTCTCTTAGTCACCAGTTAAACAAAGTGTTCTATAAGTGCATCATTTGCTGTGCAGAAATCTTGTAGAGCCCTATGACTAAGCTGAGACACTAGGAGAAGAAAAAGCAAGCACAGGTATATTATGCAAATACTTTCTATGGGAGGAAGAGGAAGAAAGTTTTCATGGGGAGAAAAGGATGATTATAAATTCTGAAATCCAATTTCCATTCATTCAAACTTTTGTTACTCTGAAACACATCACCCACAGATGAAACCATCTGTGTATTGTAGTTAACCCTAGTGATATGATTCCATTTCAACTTCTATTTAGCTAAAAAATGTTGGAAGAAGAGCATGTTTGGATGTTGGAGAAAATAATTCAGGCGGCAAGCCACTAATAATGTATACCTGTCATGGGCTTGGAGGAAACCAGGTAAAATTACTTTATGTGTGTGTGTGTGTGTCTACATAGGTAGTCCATACAACTTTATACTCTTTCTGTACTTTTCTAAACTTGTCACTGTCTGGTTACCACAAGATCTATAGAAACAAGTATTTTCCAGTACTGTAGACACAATCGTATCGGCCTTCAGTGCTCTTTTAGGTCAAACCAGTGACTATTCTGTCCAGAAAATCTTTCAAGCTATCTGTTAAGACAACAACCTTAGAATATTTTGGAACACAGTAGAAAAGTTGGTGCAGAAAGGATTCCCAAGGAATAGGGAATTATTGTCAAATTACTTTGTATGCTTAATTGGTATGCAATTACATTTTTACCTATATAATAGCATCTTTGCATCCCTTACCAACTCACCATCTACATCTTAGTCTGATGTATTGCATTAACTCCAGGTGGCAAGGTTAGTTCCTGATTCAGTGTGAACCAGAAAATTGGGTTAGTTGAACTACAGAATTTAACCATGAGTAAACCATTGTTTAGATATTGTAATTAACACAATGCTTTTAAAATGTTTAAATAATAGCAAACATGTCAAGATTCTGTTGTGGATTTTTTAATGATAGTCATTTAATGAAGGCTTTGCTAAAGGATTTTTTAATGGCTTTTGCTGAACACTTTGCTGAAATGTATGGGGAGCCCCCATTTCTTCTTGACTAGCAAAGAAGTCAAGAGAGTTTATCACCTGAGGAGTTCTGGACACCTTGAGCTTCCCACAGAATGCTTTTATGAACTAACAATGCACCATTTCTTAATAATAATATGTCATGCCAGAAAAAAAATCAAAATGATAGGTGGCAATCTTTTGTTAACTAGGAGATTGTGTATTGCACCTGTCCAAAAATGGTAGCAAAGCATACACATATACACACACACACCCATACACCTGAAGTATTTATTTATTCAGTTTCTATAGTGGACAGGTCAAACCATTTGACTCTCGGCGGCAAACAATATCACGATAATTAAAACACAAAAACAGTTACAAATTATACATATGGGCAGCTGAAAGTTCTCTTCATAATTATGAAACAATTAACACTGCAACCAGGTAACAAGACCACTAACACTTTCAGGACCTCAGTTTCAGGCACATAGCCAGATCTTTAAAGCTTTACAAAAAACTAAAAAGCCGGAGGCCATCCTGAGCTCCAAAGGGCGAATGTTCCAAAGGGCAGGGGTTTGTTCTGAGAAGGCGTGCCTCCTGGTCCCCACCAGCTGACATTCCTTGGCTGATGGAACCCACGGCATTCCCAGTCTACTAGACCAAATTGGACAGGGAGAAAGCATTGGGAGAAGCCAGTCTTTAAGGTACCTTGGTCTAGTATAGTATACTACTCCCCTTAGCTGCCTAAGTCAGGGCAGTTCCAGAGCAAATACATATCTTCTAATAACTGCCCTAATAGCTTTGATTCTGATTTCTTTAAATTTCTTTTTGACCATGTTACCACTAGTTCCTTTTGTGCTTCTGTCTCTACTTCAGCACTCTGGCCTTTTTTCTATTCTGTCTTTCCTGTCTTCTAAACTTGATAACCTTGACTCTTCCTTCTCTGCTTTTTTTCCTTTCCTCTAGAAGTTTTTGCTGTCAAGGAGAGAGCCACTATGTGATTGAACAACCAGGCCCGAGTCATCTGTCCTGTCATATTTAAAACCTCATGCTGAGAGGTCAGAGAGCTCTTCCTTGTAGTAAAAACCACTTCCTATTTTGAGTCTTGGGTGAATATCTAATGAGCATTCCTGGACACACAGCCAACTTTTGTTAAAAGCTGAAGAGCAGTATAATTATATAATATATTAAAATGAATGTGTCAATATGCTGCACTAATGAAACCTGATGAGAATGTTCCTTATTATTCTATTAAAGCATTTACTAAATATCAAAGCCAAAAAAAAAACCCCAACTCTTCTGGTTTGCTATTGTATTATAAAAGGCTTTCATTCTGGTTTCGGCAAAACTCAGTCCTTTTTTCAGAATTCAATAGCAATAAGTAAATCTTAAATTTCCTTCTGAAATTGCTGAAGTTTATATTTTAAAGGTGGTTAATTATAGAATCATTAGATATTCCACTGACTTTCAGGCTAACTCTGTTCTCTACAAATAAATTTCTTGGGAATAATGCCATTGATATATATATACTTCTCCATAATTCTCTGCTTTGCGTATCTTGAAAGAAATTATATTTTAGCGTTAACAGAATCTTTTTAATAGAGGATGTCAGCCTTTCTCAACTGGGGTTCCTCAAGTTTGAAAAATATTACACGATATATTTTTAAACACCACACCACTCAGTTCTAGTGCTTACACTGGTGAGAATTTTTACAGGCAACAGCTCAGCTGCCAATCTGCCACTTTTTTGTTATAAATATTGTGAAGCATGAATTATATGTTAGAACTGGATTGTATTTTGAAGTTTTCTTATTTTGGCAATCTTTAAACAGAGGTTCCCTGAAACCTGAACATTATTTCAAGGGCTCCACCAGTGTAAAACAGTTGAGAAAGGCTGGATTATGTTACAGGCAGTTAACCCTTTCTATTTATCATGACTCTTTGGTGACATAAATACACAACATACAAAATGCAGTTTTGGAGTTTGATTAACATTTCTTTGGAAATTAGAGCAATGAATTTGTATCATTATTCTTTTGAGTGATGGCTGACATTTGTTTATACAGTATTTTGAGTACACTGCACACCATGAAATTAGACACAATATTCAGAAGGAGCTATGCCTACATAGTTCTCAAGGAGTAGCACAACTTCATGAATGCGGTTTCAAAGGAAAGAATAGCAGGACTCCTGAAGAAGAGAAATGGGAGCTTCGAAAGGTATTTTTTTTCCTACAAAATAATATGTTTATTTAGTGCAAAACTTTCCTTATGAAAACATTCTCGAGGTGGCTGTCCCAAAATTGTAGAGATGCTTTATGTAAGAATTAAATAACCCCCACCACCAGACACAATAGACAACATAGTTGGGCATCCCTCAAGGTTCACATCCACAACTTTCTCATCCTTGTAAGCAAAAACCGCACACAACCGCAATGCATCTCTTCTTACTCATGTACTCCTCCTTTCCCCTCTAACCTTGTCCAAGGCAAGAGTTCTACTGGTTGGTCTACTCTTCAGCTGTTTCCCAAAAAGCTAGGCAGTGATCCAGTGAAAGGTTGTTCACAGATTGCATGGAAGCTGCTGGGGCTGTATGCAACTGTAGTTTGCCCAAATCTCCTTTGGCACTCAAACAAGCACTAAGCCTACAAAATCTTGAGCAGAGGGAATCTAGGAAGCACATTACAGGTAGTCCTCAACTTATGATCCTGTTGGGAATGAATTTCCATTGCTGAGCAATATGGTAGTAAGCCTGACATCACGTGACTGAATTGCACCACATAAGAACATTGATCCCGGTTGCTGTCAGAACTCCAAATCTCCAGATCATTAAGCGAGAAGCGGGGGGATTCCCAGAAGTGGAAGCTCTGGGGGGGATGGGGTAGGAGGTGCCCTGGGGAGCCTCGTGTGCAGGCTGCACACGAGTCAGGTGTTGCTGCAGTGTGATGCTTGTTGAAGGAAGCCAGGGAAAGAGAATGCATGTGTGCTAGCCTATGTAGGATATGGAAAGAATACAGCTCACGGGCTCTTTGGTCTGCTGTGGATCTGGGTCTGCAAGAAGCCCCTTAGCCACAGCACTAAGCCACAGCCCAGCAGTGCAGTGAAAGGAGCTTCTCGGTCTGCCACAGCTCTGGGGCTACAAGAAGCCCCTTGAACCACAGCACAAAGCCCAGCCTCAGTCTGGATCAGCAGCTCAGCACAAAAGGGGCTACTAGTCATCCCAGGAAGCTGCAGCTGCCCAGTCCAGCCATGGTCCCCCTTACCACCTTGTACTTTGAGACCTTTGCCATCCCGTGCTGTACTACCCCAGCTAATATTCACTGTCTTCTTGCTCCGCCCGATGTCTGGCTGATCCTTCACGAGGCAGCTGCTGGGCACGTGAGGCCATCTTCCTCAGGTCACATGAAGAAATTGCCGTCCGGAACCTGGGTAAGCATGCAGTCAGCAGTGGTAGCATGCTTGGTCAGCAGCCAGAGCAAGAAGTTAGCGAATGTCAGCTGGGGGAGGGGCAGGGACTACAGAGGGGCCAAAAGAGCATAGATAGGGGAATTGAAGCCCCCCTGCACTTGTAAGAGTAGGTGAGCTACCAAGGGCCTGAATTTTGACCACATGACCAGAGGATAGTGCAATGGGTATAACTTTGGGGACCAGTTATAAGTCCCTTAGTTCAGTATCACTGTGATTTCAGTCAGTTGCTGAACTAATGGTCATAAGCCAAGGACTACCCATGCAGGTATGATAGTAAAGTTCAAATTTCCCCAAATACATACTTGATATAAAAGTGAATTGTGGTGATAAACCATACATGTTTCTTTAATCTCTTTAGGGAAAATAGACTAAAATTGATATTTTTTTTATATTCTAGGATCAGTTGTTGTATAATGTAGCATCCAATATGTGCCTTACGGGAAACAGAGAACATCCAAGTATGGTATCATGTAATCCCTCAGACTTATTTCAGAAATGGATTTTTGGCCATGAAAATTAGGTACTGCTAATGATAATGAAACCAAAAAATTAGAATTACAATAGTTCTTCCAAGATTTAACTGATTTAACTTACGTTGAATCAGTTGAATTATAAAACATTTCTAAGGAGTTTACCCCCCGGCATAAATCTGAAGAACACATTAGTTTCTTAACTTTTTAATATGTTTACAGAATACTGGAAATTACATTTTCAGTATACATTTTAATGAAATATCTATCTTCAGGATGTAATTTCTTATGTTTTGACGATCAATGTGTCTGTCATATATTTTACATGGCAAAAGCCACACACACATTATTTTTGTTAGTAACTAAATAAAATTGTCAATGAAGGTTTAAATATTTTTTATGTAGTAGTAGACAAAGAGTGCCTAATAGAAGTTGTTTATAATTTTAAACTGTGGTTATTTCCTTTTCCTGTTCTTTGCTTTAACTATTTAGCATGTCTATAATCTAAGGTATATTTGTTTAAAGCATCACTTCTGAAAAGATTAAGTTATTTTTTGGAGCTTGAGAATGAAACAAGCTCTGAAATTCTCTATTGCCATTTCTCTGTGTCTTTGTTCACTATGTTTGAAAGGGTAGCATTCATTTCTTTAAGATTTTAAAACCGATTATAAAAGGCTTGCATTGCTGAAGAAAAAGTGTCCGGCACTTCTTTTGAAATGATACCTTACCAGTTTGATAATTATATAGAAAGACATTATTTTTGTATTATGTACAAATTAGGTTTCTGTGTTTTCAGTTTCAATTCCTACCTCTTTAATTCTCTTGTTGTATACTCAATCAAATATGAACTTTATATGATAAAGGGCTAATATAAGAACATTGCAAGTTCAAATAATTTCTTCCCTCAAAAGGATGGAGCACTTTTTATTTTAATTGAGCCACACAATACAGTTATTTCAACATGCAAAAAATTATAGCTAAATTTTGCAGGTTGTAACATATGCAGCTGGCTCAATTGTTCTGCTATATTGTGAGGGGCAAATTGCTGAGAAAAGGTATCATTAAAATGAGTTATACCAAAATTAAAAACAAACTTGTTTGTGCATGGTATCAAAAGTGTATTGCAAAAACAAGGATAAACTTTAAGTTTGCCCCATCCCAATTATGCTCCTAAAGGAATGCTTTTCCTGAGAACTGCAGCTTTATGTCTGCCACTCTCATTGTCCTAGTGGTTGTCTAGGATGAGTCACTATGGATATGAAATTAGCTGTAACCAGATTCATAGTTGGTCATTGACAACTTGTGTTTGTGTGAAAGCCGATAATGTGCTTATATTTCAGCCAAAATACCATTATATTTGCAGTTTCAGAAGATAAAAAGATTTTTAACTATATTTTTTAAATAGATACATGCGTATTTCAACAAAAAAAGTATCTATTGCAGCTCTGCAAGTACAGTAAAGACGTTTACTGTTCAGATGAAGTTTGCAGAAATATATTTTGAGGTTTGCCAGATGTGTAAATGAGAGCACTGTTCTTATTTACAAGTGTGTTTTATGGTTTTCTATTTATATGACTTTCCTTCTTGTTTGTTGCAGTGTTTAAGTCAGAAAGTTAAGTACTATTTTCTCTTCTTCCACATTTGAAGTTCCAGAATTTTTCAACCAAAACCATAAACTGAGGCTAACATTAGCCTTCATAGTATTTCATTGTGGCATTTTTATCACAAGAACCAGAATAGGCTTGTTCTTCCGCTACTGCCTTCTCAGTGGTTTTGTATCTGTCTAAATGTGAATTTAGGATAGAGTGTTAATTCTTTTTTTGTACTCCTAACAGTTTTTACTTCTGTGTAATATATTGTGCTTCTTTAATTCTGTTTTGTAACAATAATAAAAACAATTTTAACGTCAGCTAACTTTGGAATCGTAGTTTCTTGTATTTGTGTCTTTAATCTGAGCATCCCCAAATATTGAAAACAACATAGTGCTCAAGGCACTTGAAAAGAGCATAATAAAAACTAATGGCAAAACATTAACAATCTGTGGCATCTAGTGCTGAGACCAATTCTAAGCTGATGTTCTGCAAGGTAAATTCAGATGTAGTTGAATATTTTCACTGCATATTAAGTCAGAGAACAGGCATAAGGAGTCTCCTGAAAGCTGTGAATAGAATAGGAATTAAAACACAATACTAAATATATTAATATAATCTAATAAATCAGATTTTCCAATTCTATACCAAAGCTAAGTCAAGGATTACCTGTATATCATTTAATAGATAATCAGAGTTGGAAGGGACCTTGTAGGTCATCTAGTCCAACCCCCCGCCCAAGTGGGAGACCCTACACCATTTCTGACAAATGGCAGTCCAACCTCTCCTTGAAAGTCTCAAGTGATGACGGTCCCACAACTTCCGAGGGCAAGCTGTTCCATTGGTTGATTGTTCTCACTGTCAGAAAGTTTCTCCTTATTTCCAGGTTAAATCTCTCCTTGTTCAGTTTACATCCATTATTCCTTGTCTGGCCTACAGGCACTTTAGAAAATAGCTTGACCCCCTCCTCCCTGTGGCAGCCCCTCAAATATAGGAAGACTGCTATCATGTCTCCCCTGGTCCTTCTCTTTACTAGACTAGCCAAGCCCAGTTCCTGCAACAGTTCTTCGTATGTTTTAGCCTCCAGTCCCCTCTTCATCCTGGTTGCTCTCCTCTGTACTTTTTCTAGGGTCTCAACATCTTTTTTATAATGTGGTGAAAAAAACTGGATGCAGTACTCTAGGTGTGGTCTCTATAGAGTGGTTTTAGTACTTCCCTTGATCTTGACTGTATCCCTGTTAATACAACTTAGGATTGCATTAGCTTTTTTGGCAGCGGCTGCATACTGCTGGCTCATATTTAGCTGGTTGTCCACTAAGACTCCAAGATCCCTCTCACAGTTACTGCTATTGAGCCTAGTTTCACCCAGTGTATATGTGTACTTTTGGTTTTTCTTGCCTAAGTGTAGGACTTTACTTTTCTCTACATTGAATTTCATTTTGTTAGATACGGCCCAGTGTTCTAGTCTGTCAAGATCCATCTGGATCTTGAGCCTATCTTCTTGGGTGTTAGCTATTCCTGCCAGCTTAGTATCATCTCCAAATTTGGTAAGTTCCCCTTTTATTCCCTCATCTAAGTCGTTAATGAAGATATTGAAGAGTACTGGGCCTAAGATGGAACCTTGTGGCACCTCACTGCTTACTTCCCTCCATGTAGACTTAGACCCATTAAGGACTACTCGTTGAGTACGGTTTGCCAGCCAGTAGCGAGTCCATCTAGTGGTGGTGCTATCTATTCCACTTTTTTCTAGCTTACTAAGAAGTAGGTTGTGGTCTACTTTGTCGAATGCCTTGCTGAAATCTAAATACATTATGTCCACAGTATTTTGCTAGTCTACTAATTTAGTCACTTGCGTTGAAGAATGAAATGAGTTTGATTTGGCATGATCTGTTCTTAACAAACCCGTGCTGACTGCTACTTCTTACTTTACTTGTTTCTAGATGTTGGCAGATCTGTTTTTTTATCATCTTTTCCAGTATCTTCCCGGGTATTGATGTTAGTCTGATTGGTCTATAGTTTTCCCCTACCTGTTGAAATTTAGATGGGTTGGGACTACAGTTCCCTTGATTTTCCGAGTATAATGGTTCACTGATGAATGGGGAGACTTTTTTTTTAAGCAGAGGCCCCCAACCTTTCTGGCTCCATGGATTGACAGCAGTGGCAACAGTTGGAGGTGGGGAGATGATTTCATGCACAAAACCTTGATCTCACACGTGTACAAGCTTTGCCCACTTGCCCAGTGTTTATGTAGTCCAGTTCCCAAGCCATGGACTGTTATCGCGCCACGACCTAGGAGTTGGGCGGCCCTGATGTTAAAATTATCCTGAACATGACACAGATATTTTGTAGCATTCAGAAACAGAAATGGGCTGACTTTCCACGTGGTCCAAACTAATGGAAAGTTATTCTGTATTCAATAAAGGCATTTCCTTTAATTCAAATAGAACAGTATGTCTAATTCACTAAAGTGAAACGTAGAACTCTTTTAGCAATTGTATGTTCTTTTCCTTTGCCTAATTTTGAGAAAAGCATATTAGAAATGTAGGGCTTATTAAATGTTAAATATACATTTTGTTCACTGTAGTTTCTCATCCACAAACTTTTATTTTAGGACTATTTCAGATTCAATCAACTTGTAAGAAAAACAATGATTACAGGATAATTTATAAACTAATTATTGGAAAAGAGCATCAAAGTTTTCAACTTATTCAATATTAAGCAGCTGCTCAGAAATATTACTGCTTTCTTTAAAAAAGAAGAGTTATTCTAAATGTTTACTCAATTAATTAGCCAGTGGAGGACACTGTTGCAGAATTATTTCCAGCAATCCATGGCTTCTAATCTATGCATGTTGCATAATAAAATTCTGATTAGGATCTGATGTTTATAATATATTGATGCAAAAACAGTTTTCTCCCTTTGATGAAATGAGCCCTAGTTATCTTTCTTGATGGAAATGGGGAACCACAGTTTGAACAAGACAAAGTGGAAAATAAATGGCCAAAGATATATTGCCACTGAGGCTTAGCCCTATGAGCAAACATGGAGTATAGTATAAGTACTGCAGTTTCTAGCCTCAAATTTCCAAAGCATATTTCTGGGATGCCTGAATGAAAGCACTCAGGCTTCCTGTTTCTAGCATGGCTTCATAATAAAGCTCCCTCTGAGTCCTAAAATTGCAGGTGTAGAAAAGGCATTAAAAAATCAATAAAATAAATATAACTTGTTCTATAAAATAAAAGGCCATGCAAGGATAAAGTATCAGTCCTTTATTCCATTTCAGTGATCTCCTTCCAGCTTCTCCCGAAACAATTTTGTGAAAGAAGAGAAGCAAGGAACCTTTTTTTAGTTTCTCTCAGACTATGCTGGAATTATCTGTCAGTTTAAGCAACGCCAGTCACTGGCCAAGTACCATTTTTTGTATCATCTTCAACTGAGTAATGGGGAGTCTTTTGGAGCATGATGGTAGAAAATGAAGAAGAGGGTAATGTGGAGTGGGAAGAAAGAGGGGGATGAGATGAGGGAAGAAGCAACTGCTGGTGTGTGAAACTTCAAAGGGATTGAACAGAGTATTGATTGCATCACGTCCATCAAAGAGTCACAAATCAAAGCAAGAAGCTGCTTCAAAACCATGAAATTAGAAGTTCTGCAACACCGGGGCAATTTCCAAAGCACTTCAGAGATATAGATAGGTCAAGATAGACATTTTCTGTCAGTAGAAAGAAAATATAGTGTGATAATGCCTGCAGACTCAGGTGGTTTAGAAGGAATTTCCTTATTTTGATTTGTCTCCTGTTCCAACCCATTAGTAATTGGATACTTATTGAGGCAAAAATAATCATGGACTGTTGAACTTATCTATTAGTCCTTTAATTTCATCTTATTTCCCATCATCCATCAGGTGGTCTTCAACCATCACCTTGGATATTTTTTCTCACTTTGGGGAGTGGATTTTAGAAATAGTACATTTTAGGTCATGTAGTTTAATGTTTTCTTATTATAATCATGTGCTCTTTAAAAATAACTCTTAAGTCACTCTCTTCCTATATGACAGGGAAATTGCTCCCTGATTATTCCAGCAGTTAACAATGAACAGTAGGTTTTAATACAACAGAAAAAAAAAATTAGCCGTATTTAGTTAATTTTTAAAGAAGGGATTCACGCCATCCCACACTAAGGATAAGCTGGAGTCCCAAAATCAGAGTTGGAAAGGAGCATTTGGACCGCTGAGTCTAAATTCCTGTTCACTACAAGAATCCATATTAAAGGATCCTAGACAGATGGCTCTCTAGCCTCGGCTTAAACTTTTCAGCAATCGTTAATTGCTTCCACTGTTTCCAGGATCAGGGAGGAATAAGGTGGCATAGTATGGAAACCGATCATCATTAGAACTAAGTTATTTTTCCATTTCAATTGCTTCCTGGAATCCAAATCTATTATTCCATATCCTATTCCCTGGAGCAAGAAAGACCTGGTGTTTGAGATTGCCATCCAATCTTTCCTTGCTCCAGCAGCATCCACAGCAAACCACAAGGGTGCGAAAGGGACACATGCGTGATGATGGAATTACATCATCTTGTATGTGTCATTTGCCCGTCTTCCATTCCCTGCAGATGTCAGGTTTCACGTGACCTTTTCTTTGAAGGCAAACTATGCCAGGTTTGTTCCATTTCTCTTCATAAGAGTTCAGAGTTGTTCCAGGAGGGCATGACATTATACACAATTAAATTTCAAGAAAATTGATTTCAGGTGGACTTCAGGAAACATTTCTGAATGGTTAAGAGCTATTCAACAATGGATCAGAATGGCTGATTGTGAACTCTTTATTGGAGATGCTCATTTTTCAGGGAAGCGATAGTAGCAGATGTCTGCATTGGGCCTGTGGGGATGGGGGCGATGTGCTCTAAGGTTGCTTCCCATTCTTATCTTCTATGATTCCATGATAGTTGCGACTTTCTTGCTAGCAGTATGGCCTACTTGACCACCGATTTGTCCAATGGCGGACATCTTGTGTAGATGATATTTAAGAGTAGGATATTTATCAGCACCACATACAACTTGTGGTTATTGTGTATGTGTAACAAATTTAAAACTAATTGGTAGACTGTATGCAGTCTAATAAAACAAAAATACAACATCCCACAATGCCCAACTACGTTTTTCCTTTCATGGTTTTACAGCTTTGCAAAGGAGACTACTCTAGTCAGGATAAAAACATTTTCTAGATTTCAAGGCTCTATTATCTGGATGACCACGAATTAGCTTTCCACCTTCTCAAACACATATTAATAATTTAAATTCAGATAAAGCTTACAACACC